CCCTCACATCCCCAGGGGTGCCCAGGTGCTGGTGAGAAGGCAGTGGATGTGCCCTCACATCCCCAGGGATGCCCGAATAAAGGAGGGGCTGGGAGGGAGCAGCATCCCCTGGATGAGCTGTGCCTGTGTCCCGCAGGAATGCCAAAGTACCACCCTCCAGAGCGGATCTGCTTCCACTGCTACCGTGGCCATTTGGGGTGATCTTGTCCCTGGGCATCCTGCTCCATGCCATGGTCTGTGGGGACCTTCCTGTCACAACAAAGAGGGCAGGCCTGGCTGTTCCTCATGCCACAGGAGTCTCGGGGTGGGTACCTGGCTCCATGGCACAGAGCAAATACCAGTGCTGGGAGGGTGCAAGGTGGCACACAAGCATCCCACTCTTGCATCTCTGGAGAAGGTGGCATATATCCCTCCACTCTTTCTTCTCCAAAATGTAGAATTGATTAGGACGCTTGGGTGCAACTCTGAGCAGCCCCAGTGTAGCCTGAGCACTGGGGACACTGGGAGAGTCTGGACAGGAGTTTTCTTCCACTGACCAGCAGTTTCTGTCTTCTCTTCCTTTCCCCAGAGTGCCAGCACCTCACCACATCAAAACATCATCACTCAGCCTGTGAGTCTGAAGGAAGGGGGTCAGAAGAAAACACTTTTTGTGAGGATGAAACACTTTGTTCATGGTTAAAAATAAACTTTATGCTTTTGGTCCCTTCCTCCAAGGCAATATTTTTGTGTCCTTTCTCACCAGCTTTTAGGAGGGAGTTAGGCAACCCAAAGAAGGAAACAACAGCCCCTGTTTCAAACTGCAGCAGCCACTTCAGTGACCCTGAACTGCCACCCAGGCTCACATGTGTGAATGTGAAAAGCATGTGGGTTGCAGGGATAGAGGTCTCCCCTCCGTGAAAGCTGGGAGGAAATCAGAAGTGGCAAAATGCCATTTCAGCTCAACCCCTGCCCAAATTGTTCATCTTCCACCTGTAGGCCCCTGCAAAATGGCCAGGCAGAGCTGGACTCTGGCAAGGTTTGGAATGCTTAGTGCCCCCTGGCATGAAAGTGATCAAATAAACTATAGTGTGTATTGATAGGAAAATGGATACTGGAGGAAGAAGGGGATTGTGGCAGATATGGAAGTCTCTTCTTGCCTCTCCTTTCTGTCCCCAGGAGCTCCTCATGAAGAGAAATGCCTACCCTGGCATAACACCTGACACCACCCCACCCATCCACCCCTTCCTCCACCCGTGTCTGATCCATTCTGAGGACTTCATTAGCTAAACTAAGAGCAGTCCCAGTATCAGTCAACACAGACTACAGAGAGATGAACCCTGTACCGTGAAGAAGGAAGCTTACAAATCTTGCTTCAGGGGTAGAATTTGAGAATTGTATCTTTCAGGAGTTTAAAATTTACCCAATAAACCACAAAACACTAAACATAGGCTATGAATCTTAAACCAAAAAAGGAGGTGTGAGAGCACAGAGATCAATAAACCATAGGCCCTGGACCACAGGGATAAGCCATAAACTTCTGGCAATCTGTGACAAACACTGAAGGCTAAACCATCAACCCTAAGCAATAACCACTAAAGCTGGGTGAAAACCTGGAAATGCTGCTACTGGTGTTTTACAACTTTCTTTGGAGGTGAGAACACCACAGAGAATGGTGTGTTCTGGCTGTCAGAAGTGGTTTTGAGAAGTTTTATATGCTATTACACCTAGACTCTATTAACACCCTGTGCAGGGGATACTGGATCTCTGGCACAGCATCAGCTCCACTGATGGCATCATGGTCCCCCCACATATTTTCCTCATTCCTTTGTTGAAATGAGTGATGAACAACAGCCAAAGGTCTGCCACAGGTGGAGAAATGCAGATTTACCACTGTAGAGAAGACACTTCTAGATTACAGGGTCCACATTTGCCACAGGGACCAAAGAGATGGAGACTCAGAAGTGGCACCTCCCACTTTTACAAAGAAGTTTGATGGACCTCTATATTTATGTTTGATTTTCATTAAGTTTCTTATGTGCCCAGCTGGCCAGCACTTTCCCACTGTTTAAGTGCTGTTCAGCTGGCTGCAGAGGGAACAGGGCATAACTGTTGAAAACCAGGAGACTGGACTGTATTTTTCAAAGATGATGCAACTTCCCCTCCTGGCTATCCTTGATGTTTCTATGCATATAAAACTTCTGCAATTTCAGAGGTGTTTACAACTAATCATATTATTAAAATTCCTGTATTAAACAGTAATTAATTTCTCTCACAACATTCCACAGTGTACACCATTATTATCGTTCTGTAAGGCTTAAGCTGTACCATATCCATATGTACACACTTCCCTAAGACATTAGTATGTCCATCAGCATGATGGCAATGTTTTGGAAGCACTCCATAAGCAGTCACCATTCCTATAAATGTTCTATTTGTGAATGTTCTATTTCCTGAATATGTTTGAAAATTGCATCCTGAGTGTGATTCCAATGCTGCACACGTTCTGTTGGAAAAACAATAACGCCCTTGTAGGAAAACGTGAATTTCAGTATTCCAAAGCAGAAATCCTGAGAGAGAATGAAGACCATCTCCAGGATGCCTTTTACTATGTTTGACACGTACTGGTAGGAAGTTCTTATTTCAAAAACCTCAAGAAATACTGCATTTATCATATTAGAGTGATACTTCAAGAAGATGCTGTAAGGAATACAGCTAAGCAGCTTAATGCTACAGTTGTAACCTAAGCTGTTCTCATTTATTACTGCCACTGTGATTGATACAGTTGCACACTCTGTAGCATTTCAGATTCATAACAGTGTAGTTGTTAAGCAGGACTTTGTTTCAGCTATTTTTATAACGCATGCATATAAGATGCAAAATGGCAAATCAGAGATAATTATAATTAATTGCACCAGCAAGTACTAAAGCATCCGTAGCCTAAGAAAGTCAGCATCTTGCAACAAAGTTCTTAAAACAAACCAGGTAAAAATAAATGTAAATAAGATATTAGATTTTGAATGTATGTATAAGAGAGGATGTTCTTATGAATAACAAGGCAACAGTGCCATCTTGAGGTTAGTAGAGTATTAAAGGAAGAGGAATGCCAAAGAGTGCTCTCTCAAGGCATTTTACTTTTAAATAGAGAAACGTGTGTCCCAAGAGAAAAAAAAAAATGCTCTCAAGCCATTTTCTTACCTTGGTTGTGTTAAAGGAAAAAACATTTGCAAATGCCAGCCTTTTCACAAGAGGGTTAGAGGGATGGAGCTCCTCCCCTGTGAGGAAGGATTAAGAGTATTGGGGTTGTTCAGCCTGGAGAAGGCTCTGGGGTGACCTAACTGTGGCCCTCCCATACCTGGACAGAGCCCACAAGAAAGATGACAGTCTGTTCACTAGAGCACGTTGTGACAAGGGGGAATGGCTTTTAACCGAGAGTAGGTTTAGACTAGATCCTAGGAAGAAGTTCTTGCTGTGAGGGTGGTGAGGCACTGGAACAGATTGCCCACAGAAATTATGGATGTTTCTTGGATGGTCCCTGGCAGTGTTCAAGGCCAGGCTGGATGGACTTCTGAGCAACCTGGTCTAGGTGAAGTGTCCCTGTCCATGGCTGTGAGGCTGGAACCAGATGATCTGTAAGCTCCCTTCCAACTCAAACCATTCTGTGACTGTATGAATAAGGTCTCTCATGAATCAGTATTCATTTTCTTGGCTGCCTGTTTTCCTCCTTTCACTGATACCTGCATTTTATAGACAAAACATTCCTGAATCCTTTGTATTTTTTCCAATTGTACTGACGCCACTGTATCCTACCCTTTAATGTTTTACGCGTTAGGCCATAAAGATCCACATGAAGGCCAGAACTGTGTTGCAGTGCAATGCAGTGATTCAGGCACAGAACAGAAAAACCTGAGTGTGCAAACATGGTGACAAGGCAGGGATTTACCCTCCACATACGTGTGAGCAGCCTCAGAAATATGAAAGAATGCTGAGGAAAGCTGCACTGATCCACATTGGCACATTCCCACCACACCTACTGCTAGGGAATGACCACCAAAATATTGGTAGTTTTAGATCAGCAAACAAAATAGTCATGTCTAATTCTTTTAAGCAAAGGTTGAAAACAGCAACCATTCCACAAGCAAATGTTAAGTTCTGCTGGGTTGTTAAGAATCTGCTAGAGCAGATCTGTTGTTGGGTTCCACAAGTTACTCAAGAACATAAGGATTTACTGTTTAAAGGACAACTGCCCCACCCCAAAACCCAGATGCTAATACACTGGATGGTGTCCCATCCTGGACAGCAGTCTCAGGGGATCAGTTTATAGCAGTTTCAAGGCAAGGCAAAGAAGGTGCTATTTCAAATGCCCTGCCCTGGCACAGGCCTTGTAGGAGGACGGACAAGGCATTCAGCTGCTCAGGCAGAAAGGAATATAAACTCAGAAGTTACGTTATTCTGACCCATCCCACACATTAGTCAAAACATAAAGTTAAAAGCAATCTGCTTTCATAGAGCACTTACTTAGTGGGAAGAGATGGATAAAATCTTTGTGCTCTTTCGTTAAAAAATATTTACAAGTGCAGAAAAGAAGGCACTGTTTTCCCACATAAACAGAATATAAACACTTCCTTTATCAACAACTGTGCATTACATACAACATTTTAACCTACAGACTGAAAATCTCTGTACATTTTTCATCTGAAAAGTTTTTCACATCAGATTTTAAACAAATAATTTATATATATCCATTCTTTATATTTTCAGAAGAGTAAAGTATGGTAAACAGGAGGACCAAAATATTTTTCTTTAACAATACAATTAATTCAGTTTGTTTTATTTGGTATCAAAAGTACCTATTTTCATCATATAGCATCTTATCCATTTATCATAAACTACCTGTCATAAACGAAGAGTTTGTGAAACTGCTAAAATAATTTCTCAGTAGGTTCTAGCTTAAGAGAGGGAGGCACAAGTATCTGCCTATACATTTAATCTTCTTTTCAAAGATAAATGTATCTGTTACAGTTTCAACGCATGCCCAAGATTTGTCTGCTCTTTAGTTGATAGTTTTTTTCCAGTTCAGCCAGCGCTTGAGCCCGTAGATTTGCAGCATAGAGACGCCTTTTGAGATCAGAGCTTTTTCCTTTGGAAAGGAAATAGTTTTCCATATTATGAGGTACAGCTTTCTCTTCAGTTCCATCATAGTGTGAGTTCTTCTTGGTTGTAGAAAGGGGAAGCAGGAGTGTGTTATCTTAAGAAATCAAAAAGTACTGCATTAGTGCATCTTCCAGCATTTATTGGTTTTAACCCTGATGCCCAATTTGTCATCTACCTATGGCTTTAAGTCATCGAATTAAATGCATCTCTGTTAATAGCAACAATTCTTTTCTATTTTTTGAGAAAAAAAAATTGAAAACAAGCCTTTTAAATGATCATGGTAAAAAGATATATGCCATAGTAGTTTTTAGGGTGCACCTCCCAAGACCTAAGGAAAGATTAGTTGATTAAGGAAAGAAGACAGGTTTCTTCTGAAGGACAGGAATTAAATAAACAGTAACATAAGCCAGTTCCAAAAGAAAATGCGGAATGAATTTTCAGCTACTGAAAAAAGCTTGTCTTTGCTTCACAGCAAGGGTAGACTCAACCTGGCCAGTGGTTTTTGTACTTCACCCACATCATTCCAACTCCATCCTTGCATTAAGTCACTGGGGTACAAATTAGTCTCTGACTTGGTGAGCAATGAATTTAGGTGAATTGAAAATTAACAGGCTGCTTTCACTGCAGCCTTCAGAACAGGAATTTTCATAGAATATCCTATAGCATACCACCATCAAACAGCAGTCAATGATTTAAGAGTAGAAAAACTGCCATCAAAAACTACTGTAACAGCTGAGTTGCCTCACATAAGAGCCAACTTCACAAGGCTCAACTTAAAGTGTGATTTTTACTCAAAGGTCTCACTATTCTAATCTCAACACCGAAGCCTTAATTGTCAATTTATGAGGCTACAGCAAAGATGCAATAAGCACAAAAGAGCAAGAATGAATTTTAAAAGCCAGTAAATATTTCAGCACTTTTTAGCTTCATCAGTGTAAGTCAGGTCTGTTTTAACATTAAATGGTTCACTAAGAATCAGAACATCCCTGTAAAAATAGGGCAGTGTCTAGGACACAGTCTTAAAAACCAAGATTTTTGGTATTCCATTTTATTGTCAAGTGAACCACCCAATCGACTTCTAGGAGAAATTAGGGATCTAAGAGATGTGTGAGATGCAATCCAGTTGTGAAAAATATAGCAATATTTGAGCAACTGAAAACACAAGCAAGCAATCTTAGTAGCACTATTGGAGAAACACTTGGTCCATTTGTATGAGAATGGGCATAATTTTAGAAACACTGTTACAAGAGCACTATGGGATGAAATAGAAGGGCAGCAAATCACATGCTCTACAGATATTGAAAAATTTGGTCAGTTTTATAATAACTATGTTCACTTTGCTGCATTATCCAGCTTGAGGTATTAACCACACAAACAGGTTTTGCCTATCCTCAAAAACTAATATGCCTGGTAAGGTCAAATATCATGTAAAGGGGTGGGAAATGCAGAAGAGAACAGAAGTAAGAGCTGAAGCTCATTTGCCTTCAGTCATCCAGTTTTAGATGCAACATCAGAAAGCCAAAAGCAAGTTTGTTCTCAAATTCTTTAATGTGTCGATGTCAGACAAGATGTTGAGACAGGTGGAATTCCCAAAGTTGACAGAAATGTTAGGTACAGCTCAAGCACTCCCTTGCTAGGGGCATTTTACTTGTGTCCTTTTCTGCTCTGATAGGCATTTCTTGGAAAAAAAGAAAAAGCTACTTCAGTTTTATTTGCTTTGGAGGCAGTGACATGCTTATCTTGCTTTATCAGACCAAAACTAAATGAAGAGAGGGTTACTGCACGTTAAAGAGTGTTCACACATCTTTGTTCTAGAGCACTACTTCTGACCCAGCCCTTCACTATCCCTACCACTATTTAAAAAGGCATTTAGATACTTGAATATTATTTTTAATAATAACAGATGGGAGCAATTAACAGATGATACCCTTATGATAGCAAAGAATGAACAACCAAGGGCAAAGCGAGTATAAAATACTACCATAAAACAGATTGGACTAGAGGTAGTCAGGAAGTGTTTTAGTACATTTTCAAATATGAGTTTTTCTTTCTATAATAGCAATGTGTATTCTTCATAGTTTATATGATGCACCCACCAGTCACAGCTGGGTCCCTTGCAAAAAAATAGTACTTCCCATGCTGAAGCTTTTGGAAGTTTAATGAAAACTGAATTTATTAGACATGTACAATTTTATTTAAATTAACCAAATCAAAGGTCTGTAAAAAGACATCCACACATAAAATAAGTGCAACTCTGAGAAAGGTTTGGGTCACCACAAGAACCTCATTTCTCAGACAGCACCAAACTGCAGTGCAAACAGTGCTAACTCAGGCTTATGGTTGAGCATCACTCATTAAGTCCTTTTGCAAAGCAGAAAATCAAAAGTCTCTTCTCAACCTTGCAGCCATAAGTGGGCTTTGCCTTTCCCCAAGGGGACTGTGGTGAGCACGCTGAGCACCAGGGGCTTTCTTCTGCTCACACCAGACTACATCGACCCGTGCAAGCGCCTGCCGGAGTATTTGCATACCTGGGCCTTCCGCGCACGTTACCTCCTGCTGCTGCTGCTTCTGGAGACTGCACCTCTTCAGCAGGCTTTCAGCTCTGGTGTGGGAAGAGAAGTTTAAGCTGTTTGTTGTAAGACTGTAGAGCTTCTAATATAGACTATTATAGGTTAGTAAGATACCTAGCAAGTTTGTCCTCTGCCAGTCTCTCCCGAACACTGAGCTCCCGTTCTCTCTCTGGAAGCAGAAATACGGCAGTATGCAGCGTGAACATGTAAATGTTAGAGTGACTGTGCATGGTGGGCTTCTCTTACAGGGAAAGACAGCAGTAATAGCCAGTCAGGTGCACCCACACTTCTGATTCTATGGCTCTAAACAAAGGTTACTGCTGCGTAGATACACCTTTATCAATGCACTAATAAAGCACTGACAAGTACTCTGAAATGCCAGGCACGCTTCTGTCCCAAACTCTGACGTGTCTGCAACAAAGAGACAGCAACTTTCTATTCTGCACATTAACTCGTGGCACACATGACACCAGGTTTAAATATTATATATGAGATATTATAATCCAGCTATGATTTAACACCCTGCTTACAACAGCAGCAGCTGTTATTCAGGCTCAGACAAAAAAATCCATATGGTTAAAAACTGTATTGCAGAGCCTACTGCATATGCAGAGAGATATTTCATGTGGAGGAAATACCAACACTTGAGGACCAGCCATCTATAGACTCACAGGTAAGCTACCTGTGGGGAGCAGCTTTTATAATAGCAGTTGACAGTTTACTCAAAGATTTTTTTCCAGCATGAGGCTCATCTTAGGTTACATGTTAGAATAAGCAATGTTTACTTACACAGTAGGTGAAAAAGCAACCTATACTGCACAGTGCGGACCCTACGTTTCTGTATACTTTCCTAACTGCCACTCAGGTTTAATAATCTTCATAAACCAGATTTCCATATCCAAACTACCAAGTCTATCTTAGTAACTTAAAGAAGCTAGTATAGCAGAGTAAGCCCCTAGCATTCTTGGTTTGGTGTTTAGACACAGTTCTAGTGGTGAATGAAGTACTACAGTATCTTAGTGCATTAAAATGAGGGTTGTGAAAACTGTCTACTTTTTCTTCCTCCAACTGAATCAGAATCCCATTGCCACCCCCTTCCCAAAATGGAATAGCATACGCTCCAGACGCTGTTCTCTCTCTTTAATGGCTTGCTCTCGCTCCTGTAACTGCTGCTCCTTTCGTTTCAGCTCATTTACTACAACATCTGAGAACTGCAGCCTTTCTGGCTCCCACAGTTTGAGGCATCTTCTTTCAGAATTCTGTTTCTGTTCTTCTGTTGCCATATCTTCTATCAAGGGGTGCCGCAGAATATCTTCAACAGAAGGTCGGCAGTAATCCTAAAGGAAATTAGGAAATGGAAAGGCATTAGCAACAGGTTCCATCTGTAAGGAGAAACAGTGAGGTCAGAGATTTCCAAGCAAGATCAGCTAAGGTGCTACAAAGCAAAGGAGAGATTGGAGAAAACTGGAGTTGGGAAGCTGTAGCACAGCAGGATGATAAAAGCTAAGGGAGAAGGCTGTCACCAGCCTTCAGCTCTAGAGCTGCAGGACTGTGTCTCCCAGCCCAGGGACCCTCTCCCTGCAGAGTCAGAAGGGGGTGAGTGAGCCTGTAGAGGCAGCTGCCAGCACGTTGCTCAGCTAACACTCTGCTGAACAATCCATGCCTGCTTGAAGCTTGGGCACTTGTTACAGCTTCGTTCCCCCTGCCACGTTGTTCTCAATATCTCCACACCAGGTGTGGGGGAACAAGCTATACATTAGCCATATAAAGCCAATCCTAAAATGAAGAAAAATCGGCCCCTTCCAGCTCCTAAACACACTGGAACCATTTTAACCCTGAAGCTATAAGGCCTCAATGAGCATGCAACCAGGAAACCCCATGTAAGCCAATATTGAGGCCACCTTTTGGCACCCTGTGACCCTGGCATGACACTTGAGCTGCTGCCTCTGATGGACTCAGAGCAAACTCCTCCCTCCTTCCTCTACAAGTGACACTGCCGGTGACAAGGTGATAACAACCACTACTTCAGGTAGGTTTGTTTCATAATTGAGAAGAAAAACTAGTATTTCAGTACTAGCTCAAATCACAGGTGGAGAAATTAGTAATTGGTTCTTACCTTTACATTCAGCATGTCCCTGAGAAGGTTGTTCAGCTCATCTGAGTAACGATACGGTATTCGCCTGACCCTCCCTTCCCTTATCTTTTCTGCCAGCTCCTTTTGGTTGAAAGCTGTAAATGGAGGCCTGAAGAAGAAAAGCTTGCTTGGATTCTTTCACTAGTTTTACAGGACTTATTTTCAGGAAAAAAAAAAGTATCAGACTATGAAAAAAAAACTGCAGTCAAGGTTTGTTTTGACTATCTAATGTCAAGACCAATAGAGAAATAAAAATCTAGGACTAGTCTCTGAAACCTTTAAGCTTTCATCTACACAAAATACAATCACACCTACATTAGCAGTTATGCTTCCACATTTGTTACCACACCACCCTACTTACGAGAGAGCACATAATTCATACACGATACATCCCAGCGACCAGATGTCAGATTTCTCATTGTATGACAAGTAGTTCATTTGTTCCTAAAGAAAGAGAACAATCTTAGGTTTATTACAAAGACATAGTTCCACTATTTCAGGATAATCAGCTACTATTCAAACCTGAAATAAACCATTATATACTGGAGCAACTTCTAATATTCCATCTTAACTAATATCCATATCTACTCTTACTAGAAGGATTTTAACTATTTGTAGCAATACTACACCGTAGAAGACTGAAGCGTTGCAGCAATCTTTAATTGATGCAACTCTATTTCAGTCAACATTAATTTTTCCCACACAAAGTGCCCTGTATCAGGGAAATAAGTAATTCCTGCTCATTTCCACTATAATTTAAAATCCTACCATTAGAAGGTAATTTAATAAGGTCTTTACCTTAACAGTATGAAGCATAAAAGGTCTCTAACATCCCTATTCCTTTTCAGGAACAATATACTCCAACACCTCTAGTGTCCCAAGAATATAACAAAACTTATACAGCAAAGAGCAACTGTTATTAGAAGGAAGTTGATTGTGTGGGGAAGAAAGGAGATGAAAATAACTGCAGGATAACCTTGTCTCCAGAGCACACATACTTTATGAAAAAAGTCACCTGCATTTAAAACCAATAAGGCTTCATTAAAACCTCCCAAACATTCATGGACTCTGAGACCAACAGAGCACACTTTGGAGGGGCAGAAGGGAAGATAAGGTATAGAAGGAGGTCTTACTGGAGACATGTAATATGGAGTGCCGACAAACGTTGTGGCAAAGCTGGTGTTATGGCGCAATATCCTGGCCAGCCCAAAGTCTCCAAGTTTCACATTCTGTTTGCCATCTAGAAAGACATTTGCTGGTTTCAGGTCCCGGTGCACAGCGACTGCACCATCGCTCCGTCTGTGACACTCCTTCAGGGCCAACGTTAACTGGGTCAGCACTCGGAGAACAAAGCTTTCATCCAAGAAATGCCTGCAAAACGAACACATTGTGTAATGGATTTTCTGAACACACATCAGTTTGATAAGTCACTGCCAGTTTTAGTTCCGTAACTTTTTTCATGGTACTGTCATAAAACACCACTCAAATAAGCACGATCAGCAACAGGCATCTACATATTCCACCTTTAAAACTAATTGTTTTTAAAAATCACTGCAAATACGTTAGATGACATTGAGGCTTTCATTGCAGAATAACTGCAGTATTTCCTTCCTCTCCCATACCATCTAACAAACGCATAGCATTTTCATTATTTACAAACATCAATTTGATGTTTTTGTGATGAGATCTGTCCCTTTGATCACTTAAGATAACAATATGTTGCCACTTATTAATAATGAGCATACATACAGTAACAGCCAAAACAGAGCTGATTTTTTTAATACAAACTTCCTTAAATGAAAACAATGATGCTGGCAGGCAGCTGCACAACTGTTTTAGGCTATCCTCACAAAGAGGTGGAGTCATGTACTTGTTTTGACCTAAGAATGTGAAAACTGACACTATACTTAAGTAGGAGATTAGACCAAGATGAAGACTTATCAACTTGATGTCTCTCCAAACTTTATATATAGGCAGATAAAACAGCTTTTCACATTGCGTTCAAAATCACTCCTCCCTTCCACACACTTTGGCGTCCTCATAAACCCCAGGAGTTTTACTCATGGGTAAGACCATGCTGCCTGTCAAAAGGAGCTGTAACCTCCTGGTTTATGTTCCTAACCCCATTCATAGCCAGAAACCCCTCAACAGCATCTGCCTCCCAGGAGAGCTCGGGGTTTCTTATACTTCAGCACCAACACCCAACCCGGTGATGCAGCCAATAGCATAGTTCCCATCGCTGTTGTAACTTTGTACAAAACCTTTCACGTTCGAGAAGAGTTGTCGGGCCCAGAGGTTTTAACCTGAAACTGCTCAGAAGTTACAAAGTAACTTTCCCTTCTCCCCGGGCTGCCCACGCCCCGTGCCAGACACTCCAAGCACACTCCACATGCCTTTCTTTGGCGCACTTGGCGATGAGGCTGGCCAGGTCTCCCCCGTCGCAGTACTCCATGACGATGTACAGGGTGGTGCTGCTCCTGTCGATGATGCGATCGTAGTAGCGCACGATGTTCGGGTGCCGCAGCTCCCTCAGCAGGTTCACCTCCGACACGAGCATCTGCTTCTCCGACTCCGTCATCGCGCCATAGTCCAGTTCCTTCCATACCAAGATCTGCGGAGGCACAAACACCCTGGGGAGTGACCGGGACAGCGGCCGGGCCGCGCGGCTGCCAGAGCCGCTCGAGTGTCGCGGAGAGCCGCCAGCACCGGGCGGGGACGCACGGCAGCGGCAAAGCTGCGCTGCCGCCGGTTCCCCTGCCGCTCACCTTGCCGTCGGCCTTGCGGCGGACCTTGCGGCACTTCCCGTAGGAGCCGGCGCCGATGGTGAGCAGCACCTCGTAGTCGTCGGGGCGGCCGGGCATGGCGGGGAGCGCACGGACCGCGCCAGGCCGCGCGGGCCCCTGCGCTCGCGCCGCGCCGTTCAAACGCACCGCCCCGCCGGCCCATTGGCCGCGCCGCCCGCGCGCCGCGCACGCCCATTGGCTGCGCCGCCGTAAACAGCGACCGCGAGGCCCGGCGGGTACGGCCGTTACCCCTGGGGGCGGGGCCTGCGCCCATCGCGAGACCGGGGCGGGGCCGGACCTCCCCTGGCCCCGCCCCGCGGCTGAGGGAGACGCCCACGGCTGCTTTGCCGGCTGCTTCCCTTTCCTTTCCCCGACTTTTTCCCTTTTCCATTTTTCTTTCTTTTCTTTTCCTTCCCTCCTTCCTGGTTAGACAAATCACCGGGCCTGCAGGTATCAATAAATCACATATTCCTAGCTCCTCAGGAAGGGGCGGGTTTTTTCCATCAAAAATAACACTGAATCATCACCTTTCCTAAAATGCTTACATCTGGTGGACAGATAATGATAGATAATTTCACTATTCAGAAATGCTTAAAAAAAACCCTCAAGCTTTTTAAAATAATGTAAATGTAGTCTGATTTACATTATTTACTGATTTATTGCAGTCTACACCTTCTTCGTGAGGGGAAGAGCGGGGGCAGGCACTGATCTCTGCTCTGGTGACAGTGACAGGACTGAGGGAGACGCCCTCGGCTGCCTTGCCGGCTGCTTCCCTTTCGTTTCCCTGACTTTTTCCCTTTTCCATTTTTCTTCCTTTTCCTTTCTTCTCTCCTTCCTGGTTATCCCTTCTTCCAAATCACCGGGCCTGCAGGTATCAATAAGTCACATATTCATAGCTCCTCAGGAAGGGACGGGTTTTTTCCATCAAAAATAACAGCAAATAATCACCTTTCCTGAAATGCTTACATGTGTTGGATAATGATAGATAATTTCACTATTCAGAAATGCTAAAAAAACCCTTAAGCTATTTAAAATAATGTAAATCTAGTCTGATTTACATTATTTGCTGATTTATTGCAGTCTACAGCTTCTTTGTGAGGGGAAGAGCAGGGGCAGGCACTGGTCTGTACTCTGTGGTGACAGGGACAGGACCCGAGGGAATGGCCTGAAGCTGTGTCAGGGCAGGCTTAGGCTGGGCATTAGAGAAAGGTTCCTCACCCAGAGGGTGGCTGGGCACTGGAACAGGCTCCCCAGGGAAGTGGTCACAGCACCAGCCTGATGGAGCCCAAGAAGTGTTTGGACAAAGCTCTCAGGCACATGGTGTGACTTTTGGGTTGTCCTGTGCAGGGCCAGGAGCTGGACTCGAAGATCCTTGTGGGTCCCTTCCAACTCAGTATGTTCTGTAAAAATCATCCTTTAAAACTAGTGTGGAAAATTTCCTCAAAAAATTTTCTTCAAAAATTCCCTGATGAATAACTACCAAAGTCATGGCAGCTCTCCTGTCCCACCACATATGAACAGCCATGCTACATCATACACAAACCACCTGCTGAAAACAAACCAAAGCATGTAATGGCTTAAAACATAACATTTGGGAAATGCAAACTGTGGGTCCACATCCAAACTCTGAGCCAGCAAATACTGTGGTTACATTAAATGGCACTGAGTAACACCACAATCTACTAATGGCATTATTTACATTTTAAGAAGAATGTAGTGTATTTTCTAGCATCATTTATGATAAGAATGACACCAAGGTGCAGTTCTGGATGCAATTTAATCTCTATCCATGTGGCAGTGGCTGTGACTGGAACAAGAACTCCTTCAGCACAGCATTGTAACAATACAGAATCATTGTGGCCTGGGCTGGAAAGGACCCTGAAGATCATCTTGTTCCAGCTCCCTGCCATGGGCAGGGACACCTTTCCTGAATCAGATGTGAAAGGAACAGTTGTATGTCCTGACCTAGAAATTCAGCAACAGGACTGAGTAGTTCCTCATTTTGCATCTCCGAGTGGTCTCAATTATTTCCCAATTTTGTTTCAGCTTTGAAATAGGTTTGAGTAGGTGTCATGCTATGACTGAATATTTATGAAATATTCTTCTATTAGTCTTTAGAAAAATCAAAATCTTTACTTTTATCATCAGGAGGCAGAAAAACTCCTGCTGGCCATTATAAAAATTGTATAGACGTCCATCTGTACAGAATGAATGCCCATTCCAGGAGAAAATGAGCAAATGAATTCTACAGTGTGAAGATATTTTGGTTTTGTAATTAGTGAGTAACAGGGTGATCAGAAGGGTTTGTGTTTATTACTGATTTCAATTGCCTTGAAAGAAAATCCTCACCTGCACCATTAGCATAGTGAATAAATTATGGCATTGCACAATGAGAGTGACAAGCAGTGCAGGATGTATTATTCAGGCTGTAAGCTTCATTATTGGTTTCTAATATCTCCATTTCCAACTTCTGTGTGTTCAAATTAGCAAAAGGTCATCGTGCATTCCCACTGGTATCAATGGGAGCCTGTCTATTTATATTCCAAAAGAAATGGAGCAGGATTTCAATACTGTGTTTTGTCTAGGCACTATCTTAAAAGTTTCTTTAGAAATGTTGGTTTGAATCAGAGAAATGTCAGAATGTCATGCTTCAAAAGCCAGCAGCAGAGTCATTTTACTTTTTATTATACTTATTAAGGGCTGGCTAATTTTGAGAAAAATGCATTTCTGAAAGTGGTTATTAGAATTTTTGACAGGCACTCCATTTTCTTTCTTTCTGATTTTCACACTTATAAAAATAAGATTTTTTTCCTTTTTTATGTATGGACAAGTGAGCCCAGACACAGAATAATTCCAAAACTATGTCTCAAGTTTGAAATGGGGGCCTCTTTTGTCATGTATTTTCAGTTCTGGTCTCTAGTTCAGGAGCAACTCTCAGATTTCTAGACCTGAAAAATACTTGTGCTGACTTCAGGCCCTCAAAAGCCACCAAATAGTTCTCAATAGCATATTTATAATGTTGCTTCTAATATTATATCCTGCTTTTTTATTTTTTAACATCAAATTTCACAAATGATTTCCCAAAACTTAAGCAAAATAAAAGTGCTCTTTGGTAGTTGCCCACCAAAGTTTTTCAGTTTTGACACATCTGTCCTTTGTGCTGTAAGGAGTACATTTTCTCTTATTCCAGGACCTAGTTGTCTGACAAAATACTAAGTGTTAAAGATAAATAGTATGGTAGGCAACTTGATATTTCTCTAAAGATTTTTTTTTTTTTGCAAGTGGAAATGGGTAAAAATGAATGTGTAACACTTTGCTGTGAAAGTCCAACACAATATAATTATACAGATTGATAGCAAAAAAAGTGTGGCAAAGTACTGAAGGAAATGAAATTATGTTTCTGGCAGCTTTTTTTTTTGATTGTTTTCCAATCAGAGAAGATTGCACAGGTTCAGAAAGTGAATATAAGCTCAATAGGAAGAGTACTGAAAATGAAACCATAAAAATTGTTAATAATGAAAAAAACCCGCACTTTATAAAAATAGACAAACAACTGAGATAAATGTTGGTTTTTTTCTTTTCAAAGAGGTGAAAGACATGTACAGTTACAGTCCAGGATCTCAGAAATGTGCCAAAGTCTTCTAGCAAAAAAGAAGGAGTTGAGTATTCAATATTAGATAGGTAAGAGAAATATTTTTACATGACAGCAAGAGGATTTATAAATACTGCAGTGACTGAGACAATGAGTGTTTTGAGTTCATTTTCACCACAGAAGTAGTTTGGGGTTTTTCACATTCATTTGCATTTGTCCTTACTTATCATTATGCATGTTGGGTTTTTCCCCCTCCCTTTCTCTCATCTCTGTCCATGCCCAGACATTTTACATTTACCCAGGACTGTTGTACACACATGACATAATTTTTTGGTGACGTTATGTTTACTGACTTTAACAACAAAAATCATCCACAGGATCAACAAAAACATATAAAATATTGTGATCTTAGAGAGAAACACTCTAAAAGGTACCAGAGGATAAAATTTCCCTCTATTGCTTTGTGAGGGAAGCAAAGAACATGTTGATTGAAGAAATTCTGCACAACACAGCTGTGGACAGGACAGCAAAGGAACAAAATTGAGCAGCATTGATTCTAGTACTTGAGACCATGCTATTTTTCTTCTTCTGTAATGCTTGGATTCAAAGGCAGCTGAGACTCCAAGAGCAATGTGTGCAGCAAGGCAGGCTCCAGTGAGGGAGTTTGTTGCAGCTGCTGTACCTTGAAGGTTTTGCATTACAAACCCTTCAGATGGGAAAACCCCCATGAAATAAATTCAGCAGCAGGTCAAGTCTTTGCACAAAGGACTGTAAAATTGACAAGCTGAGAGGATGGGAAGCAATGAGGAGGAGACTGAGGAGGAAAGACACATTTTTGCATTCAGAGAGGGGAGCATATGAATTCTACTAGCTCCAGGTTTTTATTATCCATTCCTTGTGTTCTGTAAAGTAATATTTAAATACAGTGCTCAGCTGGACATTTTGAAAGTATGTAATTACTTACTCTCTTTCTTGTAATGAAACTAATAGCCCTATATGTTATGTATGTCTTCATATATATGCTAATTTTCAAAATAGTATTCATTAACCTTCAGAACAGAAAGTGCTTGAATTATCTTTAAGGCCACTATTTAAACTGATTAAAAGACTGATTATTTGATGTGTATAGAACTTCAAAAGTGAAATTACAGAGTCTCCTTAAATCCTTAATAAGTCAAAATTTAAAGTATTGGGATTGTCTCTAAGGAAGGATTCCAGTATGATCATCCATGATTTCTGTTGGTTTGCTTACCAAGTCATTCCTAGGAAAGCAGAAAAGTTTAGGATCTGTGCCTAAATTTAGTCTCTTTTGAAAGGGAAACTTTTCTGATTAAAATTCATATCTAGGAGCTCTCAAAATGCTCAAAAAAGCCTTTAAGTGATACAGTAAGTAAATATTTTGCATTAAGTGATACAGTAAGTAAGTAAAGCCGCTTAATTTTTTAAAGCAACAGTATTAGAGTTTCTTATTGTGGAACAGCTAGTC